TGTGGGGTCCCCTGACCTGCAGTTACAGACAGTTGTGGGGTCCCCTGCCTGCAGTTACAGGCAGTTGTGGGGTCCCCTGATCTGCAGTTATAGGCAGTTGTATGCTATCAGTCTGGGATTCCGGGAAGCAAACTGAGAAGCAAACCCTCAAGAGTGCCTGTGCTCTTAACCCTTGACCTATCTCTCGAGCCTCTATCTTCTTTATTTCCACCCTTAGTATAGTGAACAATATCTCAGGAAAATATAACAAATTTGGCACAAGTCAGCCAGCAAAATGTGTAGTCTTCCTACTCAGCAGAGTTTCTCTTTGGACACTGTGCATAATCTCCATACCATCTTTAATACTGAAAATATTGGTCAGTTCGTGAAAGGCAAATTTGACATTCAAATCACTGCTTTCTGACTCTGCATTCATTTCTACCTCTCTGCCTAGCTCTAACGGATTGCTTGGCTAATCTTATTTGTCACTAACTATTGGACCCTCAGTGTCCTAAGTTACATCTCCTGTTCTCTCATGATGCACTGTAATCTACACTTCCACAGTTGCTATCTAACATGGAGCATTTAATGTCTCTTAGCTTCCGTGGAAAGCACTCTAAGTACATTGTGTATACTAAGTACATTGTATATACTTACAATGTAACTACATTGTCCTGTTGCCATCAAGAAGTAGAACTATGATTGGCGCTTCACAGAAAAGAAAACTGAAGTTTACAAAGTTTAAGTCACACACCCAAGGTGGTAACTACTTAGTGCTGAGATGAAGACAGTCTCTGGCTTCCCACGGGGCGGTCACTGCCCTAACTGCTTGCTTTGTCTCTGCTAAGGGAAGCTCAGGACATAGTAGCTTTCTCTTCCATGGCCCATGTAAAGTGGGGTCAAATCATCATCACTTTCAACATAGTATCTGAAATACATATTTCACATAACATAATATCTGAAATACATATTTCATTTAACATAGTATCTGAAATACATATTTCATTTTCCCTAAAAGACTCATGACTTCCCATATATGTCAGTTCACATAAACACAGAAGCTAGTAACTGAGAGTCACTCCATGTGTTATCAGTGTACTGAAGATGGGAGTCCCTTAGGCTTTCTTTAAGTCAAAGACAAACAGAAAATTCCAGTTACTGGGCATGTAAGTCCATGTATTTCAAGCGTCCATGTGCCCTAGCTTAGTAAAGTATCAAGACAAAAGACTAAGTATGACATAAACAAACCTAGGGAGTCCCCATAGTTAATATGCTGATTGGTGTATTACAGACAAGTGATTTACCAGAAAGCAGACTCCCGAAGTCCCATCATTGCCATCAGTGTTGTAATGTATTGCCTTTCTTGGGTAATGTTGATGGATAAATAGTATATAAATGAAGAAAAGGATATAACACAGAAGAAAATTAAAAAATCAGTTGCAACTCCTCCTTGGGAAATAAAAGGTGGTATCTTCATGTGTGAGCCAATAACTGACATCAGCTCTTCCATCACTGAGTGATTTGTTGTAATCTAAAGAAAGACACCAATGAACAAATTATTATCAGTAATTTAATTGTAGCCTTGGGCTCTTTTTTTCAGTCTGTAAGAAGGGATTAGCTTGTAGTTGATGGAGTTTCCAAGATTCTACTTTAAGTCTTTCAGTGAAAAAAATTTACTATTGTTTTTAAAACCAACTGGAATAACAGTTCAAGCTAGATCTTCTCTGGGGCTTCTAATCAGAGTATCTCCTCTTTTATTGTGTATGCAGCACACGATTTACTATCCCACAACAGACCCTAAAGCCCTCCTAATGACCTTATACTTTTACCTCTGTATTACCAGGATCTCTGCTTAAAAGTATCCATACTGTGTATATTTTCAAGTCACCAGTACCTTGACACTACAGTCTGGATAAAGAAGCTGCCTGTCATACTATGCTTAGTGGCTAAAAGCAAATAAATTGCAAAATAAGACAATCCATATCGCCACCCATCAAAATTCAGTGTACAATGCACCTAGTTTCTATTAGCTTAGTACTCACCTCTATGATGCCAGCATTAATGGCAGCTTGGAAGGCTACAAAGCCTTTCTCCCAGAAGATTGAATTTCTACAAGTTATTTTGTCATTCATTGTTTCACAAGGAGCTTCAAGAAAAGAAGACACAACCACTGTTATGCCACCAGACAGTACTAGTTATAGGGTAAATAAAAATCTGTAATTCTCCAAAATGTGTTTAAAATCTATAATAGGACAGTATGTGGTAAGGCATATTGGTTCAGGTTGTAGAGCATGACCAAAAAGGACACACCAAGACTGCTTTGTCGACGTTCTTTAAGATAAGCTCTTTATTATTTTTCCTGCTATTTTATAGTTGTTTCAACTTTAAAATGTTTGGTCCTTCTGTTGTTTGTGCCAGAAAAACAAGGAGTACACTCACTATCACAGAACGCACTGAGCTATTTTTAAATAGGTGGGAATAACTTAAGCCAATTTTTTTGAAGTTCTTAATAAATCAAAGAACAGAAATAATAACATGTATAACTTTTGGGTTTTCTTGAAACAGGATCTCATTCTGTAGTTCAGGCTGGTCGTGGGCTCACAGGGAGGCTTTAAATTCATAGTGTAATAAAGAACTTAAAAGTATAATTTTCAAATAAGCATGGAGGCTCCTAAAAATACTAAAAGTGGATCTGTGATTATATTTAAAAAGCTACCAAGCTGGAGTTCAGGCCAGGACTCTGGGTCTACATACCATAGAGATGCTTGAGCACCTATGTCTAATGTAGCAGTATTCCTCCTAGTCAGGTATAGAGCCTGTCTAGGCATCTGTCAACAGATGAGTGAATATACCTACTTACAATGAAGTTCTAATCAGCCATAAAGAAAATGAATTGATGTAGTTTGCAGCAAAATGAATAAAATAGGAGGTCATCATATTAAACAAAATGAGTCAAACTCAGGGCAAATTATGACATTCCCTCTCATTTAGAAAACTTATCCTTCATATAAATACATAAAACCATATATACATATACATGAATGACAGGATTGTAGAAACAAGACCAAACAGGAATAATAGGAGGGGGAAGAGGAGAACAGGGAGAGGGTCAGGTAAAATGGTCAAAGTACACAACAGGCTTGATTGAATATAAATCCATCACTATATGCAAGGAGTATATATCAATAAAAATACTTTTTAAAACATAGGTTTCATTTAAAATGACCAATCAATTGGAAATTATCATAGGGGGTTGTGGTGTTCATCTCACTTCTTCTGTATTTGTCCCTTGGGTCTCATGACATAATAGCAACATCTACATTAATATATTTTTTCCAATGGCAAAGTTACCTGAATGGTCTCTGTGTTCTTTTACTTGTGGGATCCTGTGATCCCACGAAAATTTCAAATGATATGAGAACGTATCCTTAAAGATGACTCTCACTGCATCTGTGGAGTAATTTAAATCTAGTTCGCTCATACATTTTTCATCAGGACATGCCACAATTCTTCTTCCTGTCATGTGAAGAAACAAAATAGTTTAGTAAGATTCCTATGTAGTTCAATGGCAGCATACCAGACTCAAAAGCATTGAGGCCATTTTATGTTTGAGTTAATTCTTCCCTAATACACTCACACTTAGAATGAAGTGGGATATTTCTAATATTCTGACCAAACTGAAAACATTCTGTGGCAAATACTCTTTTTTATATAAATTTATTTGTCTTGTATATGAATGTTTTGCCTGCATGTGTGTATGTGTACCATATGCATGCCTGATACCAGAGGAAATCAGAAGGCTTCAAAGTCCCTAGAACTGGAGTTATGGATGGTTGTGAGCCACCTGGCGTGGCTGGGAATCAAAGCCGGGTTCTCTACAGGAGCTACAAGTGCTGTTTACCACTGAACTATCATCTACCAAGCCCCTGGGAGACACATTTATTAAAAATATTTCATGCCTTTTCAAAGAATGTAACCAATAATTTAAGCCATGATGAGTAAGGAACCCTACAGGAACAGCTAACCTGGGCTCATAGGAGCTCACAGACTCTGGCCCGACAGCTAGGCAACCCATATGGGACCGAGCGACAGTAGTGTAGCTTGCTCTATTTGTGGGGCTCCTACCAGTGGCATCAGGACCTGTCCCTAATGCCCAAGATGACTTTTAGGGACCATACTGAGTTTCCCCACCCAGACTTAATGCAAAGAGAGAAGCTTAGTCCTATTTCAACTTGACATGCCTTGCTTTGTTGACACCCATAGGAGGCCTGCTCCTTTATAAACAGAAACAGAGGAAGAGTGGATGGGTGGGGGAAGAGGGGTGCAGAGGGGAAGCAGGAGGGAAGGATGGAAAGGAGAGGAGGGAGGGGAAACTGCGGTTGGGATGGGTCAGGATGTAAAATAAATGAAAAATGTAATTAATTAAAAAAAAGAAAGATTGAACCATGATGAATTTTTAAATAATAGCAATACTAATACATCCATTTTAATGTACACACACAGAGAACTCTCTGATAATGGAATATGCCATTTCCATTTGGCAATGATGCCATGTAATCAAAATGACAAGGTGATATGCAGCTGTTAAATCCAAACAATACCGTTTACTTAAGTGACCATTTACTTGATTTTGCTGTGCACATATTCTTCGATGCAATTCAACATGTTCCTTGTTATGCAGCAGATTTCTTTAAGTTCAATAGCTGCATTAAAGGCTTAATCAGACTCAGGTATGATCCTTTTTGCCTGTCTACTGGAAGCAGTGTGATGTTGGATTAGAAGCTCATAATTTCTGAGGGTCTCTTTTGGGGACTATTTGCTGCCATCAAGGTTAAATAACTAGTTCCACTCATTCAGTGGGAGTTTCAAAACTGTGATGTCCTACTTCTATTTTTTTGTTTACCAGCAGAAAACATTAATAAAATAATAGTTTCTATAGTCTCTTTGCTTGTGCATAATAGCATAGGTCACATAGGGTTCATGCTCCTATTTCCTCTCAAGTTACAAAATTTCATTATGAGAGCTCACTTTTACCATCTACTAATAAATATTTTTCCACTTTATCCTGAAAATATGGACCTAAAGTATCTATTTGTTGAGATCTGGATCATCACATGAGTAGAAGACCAATTTATGCCAAGTTGGCTGTCGGGTCCTTTTGACCTAACTGTTAGTTCTGGTGGTCTCTTAACTATCTGGAAAGACACGGACTCTAACCCCACAAAATTTCTAGCCTAGACTGTTGTCTCTCCTTTCTGTCATACTGGGACTTGCTGGTTTTAAAGTCACAGGATGAGAGAATGAGACTGCTCTCTGGGATTTCTCCTACTTCACCTATCTAAAACCTCAAAACTGCATTTTCATACTCTCCTATCAGTACGATTACTAAAAACCGTTGTAGTTGCTGTCCTATGCATGCATGAGCTCAAAGTGGGAGTCCTCAGAGTTTCCCGGTATCCGTGGCTTCTTTGCTATTGTACCAACCCCAAGAAAAGATGCCCTGCTAGTCTGGAGGCTTCAAGTGTTTCTCCTTCCATCAATTATTTCCTGAAATACAGAGCACACTCCATCACCTGCTTTTGCTGTCAACACTGCCTAGCGATTCTGACACTGCTACTCACTTTCTCCCTCTAGTTTAGCATATTTGGAAGTACCCCAGAATCTTGCAAAACCATACTGTTGTGGGATAAGGCTTTTGTACACTGTAAAAATTTGTCACTCACATTAGTTTAGTGAAATACTGACTGGCCGGTAGCCAGGCTGAAAGTATAGGCAGCGCAACCAGTTTAAGAGAATTCTGGGAAGAAGAAAGGCAGAAGAGTCCATCACTAGCCAGACACAGAGGAAGCAAAATGAAAATGCTGAAAATTGAGAAAAGGTACCAAGCCATGTGCCTAAACATTGATAAAAATTATGGGTTAGTCTAAGTTGTAAGAGGTAGTTAATAATAAACCTGAGCTAATAGGTCAAATAGTTTATAATTAATATAATATAATTCTATTAAATAATATATGTATATAATATATAATTAATATAATATAAACTCTGTGTGTTTTGGGGGGACTGAATGGCTGTGGGACTGGGTGGGACAGGAACTTCCATTTTCAAATGACGCCCAAATGTTTGGCAAGAATTTCCACATAAAGTCTGAGAAAGTTTTTTTTTTTTTTTAAAAAAGGATTCTAGACAAACAAGAACATAGTCAAGAGCAACTTTTTGATAACTGTCTTTACTCCGGGAGATTTCATTTGGTGGCAGCAAGCAGAGGCATGGCTCCTTTACTACAGGCTTCCTGACTCAGGATTAGCAGCCAAACTTCACAGCTCTTTTAAGAGGCTCTGCCACCAAACACTTAATTTGTGTTTTTGAGCAGCTGGCAGCATACTACTGGGTGGTGACATGAACCTAGAAACTCCGCAGAGTTATAGTAATAAACATGGCTCCTGCCAGTACCTCCACCATGAAGCTAGACTCTCAGGAAGCCAAGGAGTAGGGTGTATCTAGCTGCCAAAGCCGTGGCTTTAATCCTAGTCAAATCATTTAGCAGATTAAAGACTCATGTGATCAGAAAAAAATAGAGATATACAGTGAAGACACATTCAGAATGAAAAAAACTCCAGTTTACCAGTGTTTTTAAAAAATATATGTGGGCTTTGGAGAGAAAAGAAAAAAAAGATAGAGAAAGTCCTAAAAAAAAAATAGAGTAGTTGGGAATGGTGGCACATGCCTTTAATCTCAGTACTTGGGAAGCAGAGGCAGGCGGATCTCTATGAGTTCAAGGCCAGTCTGGTCTACAGAGTGAGTTCCAGGACAACCAAAGATACAGAGAGAAACCCTGTCATAAAAAAAAACCCAAAAAAATAGAAATAAAAAATAGAGTTAAAAACCCACATAAAGACGGAAAATACAGAGAGACTCTGGATACTATATGTTATTGTGTTGTCTTTGAATTTTCTGACTGCTGAGGAAGGAGCAACAGTTGCTAAAAGACATTTGATTATAAATGCTGCTGGATTAATCCAACCTGTATTTTGAAAATGCCTTGATTTAAGAATTTAAGTCAAAACATGCATTACTTTGGAGAAGAGATTTTGCTTTTGTTTACAGGAAATGGGAGGCTGTGGATTCCTTCTGGGTTAAGAAAAATAAGGTTTGATCCAGAAAAACCCCTGAAAAATCTCCAATGGGAACAAATGACCTAGATGATCCAACATTTCAGAGCACCTCTGTTGTAGTTTCCTCTGAGTTCTACATCCAGAACAGCTTCAGAGCTGCTGCCTGAGATAATCCAGCCTCACAGAATACTCCAGTCAGGTCTTGACTATAATCCCAAATTTTCTTTGAATCCCCATAAGATTATCAGTACCACCTATCAGCAGGAAGTAGCCTTGAAAACTATACACACAGTCCTAAAAAATGAAACATGGATATTTGTCTTTGTTTAGCATGTTGATTACAAGCTGTATGGATAATGACCAGGAAAAAAAGCTAATCAAAGAAGAATAGATTCAGGGTTCTGTTTTGAAAAGGGGGGTACAGCTATGGGATGCTCTGTACACTGTAAAGATTTGTCACTCATATTGGTTTAATGAAATCCTGATTGGCCAGTAGCCCGGCAGGAAGTCCAGGTGGGGCAACCAGACTAAGGGAATTCTGGGAAGAGGAAAGGCAGAGAGATGCAGTCACCAACCAGACACAGAGGAGGCAAGATAAGAATGCCTCACTGATAAATGGTATCAAGCCACATGGCTAAACATAGGCAAGAATTATGGGTTAATTTAAGATGTAAAACCTAGTATAATAAGCCTGAGCTAACAGGCCAAACAGTTTATAATTAATATAAAACCTCTGTGTGTTTCTTTGAGACTGGACGGCTGCAGGACTGGGTGGAACAGAAACCTCTGTCTACACCATACATCTAAATAACACAGTACTCATCTCATTTTGATATACTTTATAAACAGTATTAATTCTGTTTGAAGCACAGTTGCTCAAAGATATTACTGGAGTAAGATATCCTCCTTGATATCAGAAAATAATACCCATCCATGTTGTTAATCAACTTTAGAAATGCCAACATTTAACACATTTTTTTCAAGAAAATCCTAAAATAAATTTGAGTATAATAAGAAAAGTAAAGAAATGGTTTTATGAACTGCCCCAGAACATACCTTTCATGAAGGGAGCTGACGCCACTTTGGTCATTATCTCGTAGACAGTTGTAGACTCAGGAGCAAAAGCAATAATGTAATTAGAATCATTAAAATCATCAACACGTCCTAGATCCAGTTCAGGAATTTGAGGAGCATCATGAACTTGGTGTAAATTGGAGGACAATTGATATGTAAGAAATAGTAGAAGAAATGAGAAAAACCATTCCTACATAGTAACAAGAGAAGAAAAGAACATCAGGCTTTCTACTACGAACAACTGAAACAATGTCATCCTGTTATAATGCTGCTGTTCCATTTGTTCTATTCCATTTTAAAGTAACTGATTTCACTTTTGTTCTCCAAAGATCCATTTAATTTATGTCCAGTGGGCAAAAAAGGGCATCAGATCCCTCGGAACTGGAGATGACTGTGAGTCACTGTGTGGGTGCTGGGAACCAAACCCAGGTCCTCTGCCCGAGCAGCCAGTGCTCTGAACCGCTGAGCCAGCTCTCCAGCTCCTAATTTGCTCTTTCATCTGCACATTTTGTGACATGAGCATTGTTCACCAAGACAGGGTTGTGACAGCAGTTCCAATTATAACTGAAAGTGTTTTCTCAATCAACAATGCAAGGCCAGACGCTTGTCACCTCTAATTAGTCTCGTCAGAGGCCACGTGACCACAAGAATGGACCACTCGTTGGTATTTGAATGGAGGGCGGCACGGAATTAGGTAAGTACTTCCCTCAACAGAAGCAAGACGTTATCTTGTTCTTCAGCTGTCTTCATACGGAAGAGGCAGTAAAATAATGCTCACCAAAAGAATTTTAACGTTTTTTTTTTTATCATGGTCACTGCATTCTAGAACTGTAAACATAACAGGACATGTGTGAAGCCCAGTGCAAAGAATTCATTCTGCCGTCCTAGTTTGACTCAAAGAGGGAACTCTAACTAAACTCGGTGGCTCACACACTGTCACACAGAGAAACATGAAAGCAGAATGGGCACCTGGGAGATGAAGGATTCTAGTTAAAGAGGTGATGATTAAAAGCAACTAAAAATCAGTATATAAATGCATGAAACTGTCAATTATAAAAAATAGTTTATTTATTTGTTCTTCTCTCATGGTATACCACATCCATCATACACAATTTTAGCTATGTGTATGTATGTACATGTACGTACGCATAGAATTTAAAAGAGCGAACGTTTGGAAGTGTAGCAATTACTTAAAGTAGGTTCTTAGCTTTTATATTAATATTCATATGACCTTTGCTTTATCCTTGAAGCTCTTGAATATTTTATTCATTGACAATCCAAACATTCATCAAATGTTTCTTGGATGAATACACACATGGTTCATAGAATAGGACATTAATTTGCTAACTCTTTTAAGGAGTGACTTTAATTTGTGTTTATCATGAATTCTACAGAAAATATCTATCACTGTTAAAACAAAAAGAGTACTAGTGTAATAAAAATAAAGGCCCAAATATCATTTTGCTTCTGTTGCTTTCACTGCGCCTTGTAGCTACAGTGTGCTTGCTGAGAAGCACAAGATAGGTATCTTTCTAGTTTTATAATTTCTTTGTGGTGAATATCTTTTCCCCCGGCAAAATACAGTCATCTTTTAAAAATCCATTAAATTTTTATGATATTTTAAATTATGCACGTGTTTTATTTTTAAATGATAGAAGTTATACTCGTTTACATGTACAACATATTTCAATACATTCGCGCATGGCAGAGTGGGTAAACAAAGCTCATTACTTATCACTAGCACGTCACTTTTTTGACAAAATCACATGGATTGAATCTTTTCAAATTGGAGAAAACTCAGCAGTGTATTATTGTACACAACTGTGTGCTCGCTTTGCTAAACACACCATCTACAGCACTGTAGCCCATCTTTGTTATTATTTAGAAAAGATCACAGTCTTTTGTCTTGTATTTGTCATCATTCTCTCATATAGTCATGGTAACGCACAATTAACACTTCTAAAGTATCCGCCGTGTTTCATGCTCCTGCGGTTCTGTATATAGTTAATCTAAAATCCTTTCCTTAAAACGACCTTTTCATGAGATGTTTATCCATGTTAACGTCTAAACATTAAGCTTGCTTCCTTCTGTGTTTGAGAATATGTCCTGGTATAAACCTCAGTAAGTGAATTATTCTTTTTTAAAAAATATTTATTTATTGCATATACAGTGTATATATACATGCTTGCAGGCCCGAAGAGGGCACCAGATCTCATTACAGATGGTTGTGAGCCACCATGTGGTTGCTGGGAATTGAACTCAGGACCTCTGGAAGAACAGTCAGTGCTCTTAACCACTGAGCCATCTCTATTCTTGTCTTGTAGATGTCACAGATAGCTCTGAGAATTGTTTTGGGTGTGGAGATGTAGGGAATGGGGAGAGCGCCAATGGGAGTTCTTTGTGAAAGGCTTTTTTCATTTCTTTTAAACCTCAGGTTGCACTCTGAAGCAATTACGGATTGAAGTTTGCTTCTTTGATGATAGCCTGAACTTCAGTATCTGTGCCCTCATGAGACCCAAATTAAAACAGATGTTATTATTTCTGTTGTATAAAGGTGTAACTTCATTTTATAGGGCATTTCTGAATATGACTTCTTTTAAAAATATCTCTAGTAAGGTATTTAATATTACATATTTAAATTTTTTATTTGAAAAAAAATAGTAGTAAAGCCCAGGACTTGAAAAATTCTAGCCTGTTAATTACATCTGGGTTATATAAAAGAAATCATTGACTAATTACCGTGTGGCTATCACTGAGAAAATACTATTTGCTTTTCCAAATATGAGAGCACATAGATTCTGAGCCATACCATCGCTGTTTCTCTTCTCAGCCTGCACTTCCTCAGCCAGTTCTTGCAGAGAAGAGCCCACGTTTGCTGACCCACTCTCAAGTGTCTCTTCCTCATTTCGACTTGTTTATTTTTCTAAAGGATGTAAAGGAGGCAAATGTGGAAGTCTGAAACAGAAAGCATTGTGCAATCAAACTAAAAGGAAACATTTGATCAGCTGTTTCCAATTATATGCCTACAGAAGAAGGGCGCCAAATATAGACAGAGGAAAGGAAGGAAAAGAGGAGGTGGCAAAATCGACAAAATCTACCAAAAAAAAATAAAGGCGTCTTTTCTTCGATGGAATGACTTTTCAGAGACTAATAACAAAGTCACGTGCTGCCCCATGAAACTGTCCAAGCTTTATATAGGCTGGTGGAGATCTCCTGTTACCCTGTCAGTTAGTTAGTTATTACTAATTACCAGTAGTTACTACTAATTACTAGTTACTATTCAGCAGAACCTCACTACCAGTCAGTTCTGTTCCTGGGTCTGTACGCCGAGGTATGGGTTCACCAGGGACCTGTACTCAGATTCTTCCAGATATAGATCACCGTGACAGGATGTTACTGAACGCACGTTCACACATATACTATTCAAACAGAACTCTGTAGCAATCAGAAGCAATGGGTTGGTACCCACAGCTCAACATAAGAAATCTTAAATAATATGGTATCAACTAAATCTTTTTTAAAACAAAGAGAAGGTTGACTTATATAGCAATATAATTTATATGAATTTACAGCATGAGCAATACATATCTCTAAGTAGATCCTGGAGCTAAAAGATCATTATCAAATACAATTTTAGAAGATTTATCTTAGGCAGTGGGAAATAGGGATGGAGGTCAAGTATGAAATGGAACATTTGAGTCAAAGGAAATAAACAAAAAGAAAAGACAGGCGTTTTGTATGTCATGAACTCAAGACAATGATTAACTCAGCCCTTTATTTCCCTTTTGCAACTGATATCTGAAAAACTCTTACAAAACCACTGAAAAAAAACACAGGTCAACAGTAGCTAAGTTCAAGGGACACAAATGGACATTTTAGATAATTTCACATTGCTTACAGTGTTTGGATTTTCCAGTTACAAATATTCCAAGTAATGATGTCATCAATAGGCTATGACAATTGGAAACTCCAATTAACACTAAATTGCATTTTCAATTAGAAACCAGTGCTGTAGCAAGTCTTGGTATCCAAAGCATAAAGATATTTTATTCAAGTGCCAATTCTTCTTAGATAGTTAATGTATATGAAGGAAAATACTCATAAATAAGAACAATTGTATAATCTAACCATCATGCATTAAGTTATTTGTTCCTGGCTGTTAAGAATTAATTATTCCATTGTACATGCCCATGCGAAACACTATTTGCTCTAGAAGAAGAAAATGTTAAATTAGCTTAAATTGTTTTGAATAGTAAATTGAGTAGTTTAAAAATACTACATTGGTTGTTAAAAAACTAGTAATTTCCCAGTTGGGCAGTATTCCTGCTACTCAGGGACAACAAGCAGCGCACCAGTCAAATCAGTTTACATATTTAGTATGATAAACAGGGCCAATAGAGTATTTCCTAAGTTTTCTTGATTAAAACTCTCAAGTCAGTTAAAAACAGCTCAAAGCTCACAAAATCTTGCACCCCGATGTTTACATGCCTCTGGCCATAAAACTGAAAAGCGCTGCACACAAAAAGGGAATAAGCAGTTCAAGTAGCTTCGAAAACAGCAGGAGGCAAACAAGTTACATTCCTTTCCACTTCCCCGCTTGCCTGGTCCAGTGTATGGACTATTTATAACAATGCTTTAGTCATGGAGAAAGATGGAAAATTCTTAGTTTTCCAACTGCTGTTTAGCCATACAGTATGAAATACTCAAAGGTTTGAAAAAATCAAAATGACTTACTAGTAACTTCCACCGAAATGTTTGGCCTGACTTTGATGCCTTTTCTTGTCCCATTACATAAGTGCTAATAACCACCGTTTAGAGGCTAACTTACTGGGGGAAGCTAAGGCAGGAATCTTCAAGGAGTTCATCCGCAGATCTTTGTCCTGGAGGAGAATTCACATCTCTTTGTTCGGATCACTGCCACATCTTGCTTTGAATTTTGCTTATCAGGAACGGTTCTGTTTTACTCTGGTTTCTGAAGAGAATTCTTGACGAAGTTCAGCCTGACTGCCAAAGCTCTGCTCACATAGCGACTCCTGAGCTGCTTTTTCTTCCTCTGCCTCCCGCCAGCTCCTCAGCAGGGAATTTGTGGTTGCAGATGGTTGGCTGGCCATATCGGAACGTTAGCAACTATCAAACCAGGAAGAAGCTGGGCTTTCTAAAAAGCATTTTTCTTTCTTTCAGATTAGACCCCAATAGGAGACTTGACTCTCAGCAGCAGCATACTTTAAACAAAATCACAAAAAGGCCAGCTCAAAGCAGAGCAGAAAGGAATTTCCTAAATTACAGGAATAAACATACACATTGGATAAGATCACTTCTCAAAGCCCTTCATTGATTTTTTTTTTTAAAAGCTGGATCTGCACACGACAGCATAGCAATGTTTCCAGGGTTACAAGGTAAATCTGCACTTTTGCCTACATTTCTGTAGCATGGTATCCATCCTATTTTCATCATCATTTACGGCAGAAAAGCAGAGTAGAGAGATGTGTTCTCAGGCTGCGGAGAAAGTTCACTTAGTAAAGCGTTTGCCTTGCAAGCATAAAGAACTGAGTTTGATTTCCAGAGCTCATGTAAGAAATGTCAGGGGTGTTAGCTTGGGATCAATGTACAGTGCTGGGGTGGGGATGGGGTAGAGAAGAGTATTCATGGGGCTTGCTGGCTAGCCTGTCTGGAAGTGGGCAATGTTTTTAAGGATGATAGCCAAGGTAGTCTTCTGGCCTTTGTCTGAATTATCTGAGTGCGGACACATATGCAATGTACCCCCGCTCCCTGCGTGCCAGCGCTTATGGGGGGAGGGGCAAGGAGGGAGGAAGAGATTGATGCATTAACATCCAGTCCCAAGAAGCAAGTTTCTCTGAAGACAGTCACTGGTTTTCAGTATGTCCTTGTCCCGTGCTGTCAAACGTTTGCAGCAGGCAATGGCTACATTATCACGAACTTCTTGTGTGCACAGAAGACAAAGCATCACACAGATACGAAACATTCCTTCAATATTTATTTAAGCTTATTTACTTGTTTGCTAGTTAGGTTAGATCCAGAAATTGCTCAGCAAAGTCTGCACAACCAGAGTGAACTCATAATCGGTGAGAACAACAAGCCTTCTGATTGTTTCTGTACCTCGGATGCCTTCCGCAGACACGCACTAGCACATTTAATAACACCGCCAACATTTTGTACACAGAGAATATAATTTAGAAAATGTCTTATTTCTTTTTGGCACTCTTAGTTTTTTCTATTTTCTTTTCTTTTACTTTTTTTTTTCAAATTCATTTTACATGCCAAACACAGTTCTCCCCCCTTACCGTCCTCCTGCTCCCCTCTACCTCCCCCCACCCCACCCCTCATCCCTTCTCAGAAAGAATAGGGTCTCCCATGGGTGGGGCCAAGATCATGACAGGGAAACCCACAGGGAAAGCGGACCCAAGATAGTGGGAGCTCACACACTCTAGATTGACAGTTGGGGAGCTGTATGGAACCTAACTAAGCCCTCTGCATGTGGGTGAAAGTTGTGTGGCTTAGTCCGTTTGGAGGATCCCTGGAAGTGGGATCAGAATCTTTCCCTAGTTCATTTTTTGTTGTTTTTATTGAACTTTATATTTTTCTCCTCTCCCCTTCCTTCCTCTTCCCTCCCCTTAAACCCTTTCCCATGGTCCCCATGCTCCCAATTTACTCAGGAGATCTTGTCTTTTAGAAAATGTAGTATTTCTTAGAAATGAATATATTCCCTCTTTCCTCAGACCCAGTTGAACAACATACATGCAGGTTTTGTCTGATATCATCCTTAAATATATATGGTTTCTTCAAAACAGAATATGTGATCCCGTTCTCTCTTCGGAAGAGGTGGCTGCAGCCTCCTCTCCTCTCCCCACACCCACCGTTTTCTCTCTCCCCCTCTCTCCCCCTTCCCTTTCCTTCCATAACCCACTGAATAAGCTATACACAAACCTTCAAAAAATAAAAAAAAAAAAACACAATATGTGACGGACTGGAGAGATAGCTATCACTTCCTGCCCTTTCAGAGGACCAGTTTGGTTCCCAGCACTCACAGGGCAGTTCCAGAGGGATCTGATGCCCTCTTCTGGTCTCTGGGGACATTGCATGCATGTGAAGTAAAGATGTATTTAGGCCAATGGTTCTCAACCTTACTAACTTTGGGACCCCCTCCTGCAATACAATTCCCCATGTTGTGGTCATCAACCAGAAATTATTTTCGTTGATACTTCATAACTGTAATTTTCTGCTGTTATGAATCATAATGTAAACATCCGATATACACATGGCCTTAGGTAATTCCTGCGAAACGGCCATTTGACCCCCAGGGGTTGTGACCCACAGGTTGAGAAGCAGTGATGTAGGCAAAGCACCCACACACATAAAATGAAAACAAGGAAATATTCATAGACATATATTAAGCAAATTAAGCCTGATTCCGTTTCATGGACTTTTCCAGTGGAATATTCTTTTAACGATCCAATCTGTCACTCTACTTCAACTTTTATTTCTCAGGTATATTTTGATCAAGCACCATTATTTTATATGGAAGATTTCCTTTTTAAGCAACTTAATCGGATTTTCCCTTTTATTTAATTTGATTTTTTAAATTCCACTTTTATCAAAGAAATACAAGCCTTTAAAATGGTGGACCGGTTTCCCCCACTCATGTTATTTTAAGCATGTCTTAAACTATCCCTTGTGCTTTCCAGTTCCCCATTTCCACTCAGATTGTGTTTCTCTGCTCCTTCCTGTGGATACCTTTATATCATATCTTGTCTAGGGAATGCTGGGTATTAACTTTGATCTACTGATTGTCTTTAAGTGTTAACAAGAATATTTGAACTTCAGTTACTCTAGTGATATAAAAATTTATATCTAGTGATATAAAAATTCAACTTCTGTCTGCATTCACTTTTTTCTTCACCCTTCCAGTTCCCTACAGGTTAAACGTATTTGAACCTGAACCTTCACGTGTACACTATTTATTTTACAGTGCTGAGCAAAGAATTTTCCCTAAAAGCCTGAGTCTCCTCATTTATGAGATCCAAAGCAGACACAATAATATCGAAATAGAAATAATTTTAAAATTTAATCTTTGGGATCTGGGACTATAGTAGTGGCTTATCAGTTAAGAACATTAGTTGCTCTTCCCCAGGACCTGAATTTGATTCCCAACACCCACATGGTGACTCACAACCATCTGTAACTCCAGTGCCAGGGGAACCAATGTCCTCTTCTGACCCCAGGACATGGGCACATACATGGTGCACAGACATGCACATAGATGGTGCACAGACATGCACATAGATGGTGCACAGACATGTACATACAATTTAAAAAACAATGTAAGAAATATCTTAGGGATTTAAGGAATAAGATAAAAAAGGGAAAGTCACATCAAATGTTGCTCTTAAATTCTATTGTTGAGTTTTGGTTATAATTAGTGTCTTCTCTACATTAAAAATAATGTGATATTTCTTATTTCCTATAGTACTGATGATAAGAATGTTCGTATAAGTACTGGAGAGATGACTCCAAATTTAAGAATGCTTGTTGGTTTTGAAGAGGACTCAAGCTCAGCTCCTTGCCCTCTTGCAGGGTATTTTGTCTTTCTTACTTGGAAATTTTTTTAAAAATTCTCTTTCACCACAACTGTATGAAATATCACAACAAGTTCATTTTGTTTTGTCTTGTATGAAACTTGGTAGTCATTTACAAAGGTCTTGAAGTTTGGTTTTGAAGTGCTGGGAAATATTCAAATAAATCCTTTTGTCAAATATTGCTTCACTTCTAATCTTTTCCTGGAAATTTATTAGATAATGGAGACACATTACACGTATCTATCTTTTGCCTGTTTGCCCATTAGAAATCAGAATACAATCCTCTTACACACCAAATAAACAATCCTGAAGCCTACAGGCAAGGCCATACTTTTTGTTGCGTTCCTCTCAGGAATGCCTCGATGATGGCCTGCTTGCACTGAAAGCACACAAGCTTTTCTGTTATCTGGTTCTGACTCATCTACAACTCCAGCCACAGCGGGTTGTGACTGTACCAAGTTCAACTTATTTATTTATTTTCTTTAGTAGACTTCACTCCTACTTTTCACAGGTTCTCTCCTAATGACAAAGAATGAGACCTTTGGAGTCCAGCATTGATCGCTTTGCAACTCTACAATGCCTCTTTATGAATCTTCTGATGGTTGCATACCACAGCCAAGTGCTCTTATGACCTACAATGGACACTGTATACAACTCATTTCTTTATAGATTGGGTACACTAATTTCTTCCCACAGAGTGTAAAGATCCAGATGATGTTAAAGAATCCATAAAGGGAGCTGAAGAGATAGATGGGTTAAGGGCACTGGCCACTCTTACAGAGGACCTGGGTTCTGTTCCCAGCACATATAATGCTTATATTGTTTTTTAAGAGAGAAAAAAGATCTCCTGAGAACTGGGAAAGTGGGGGTGGGGGAAAGAAGGGAAGGTGGAAGAAGAGGAGGAGGGGAGAAAAGGAGGAGGAAGAACTAGAGAGAATGGGATGGATGAGATGGGGGAAGGAAAGAGACAGAGAACAAAGAGATATCTTGATTGAGGGAGCCATTGTGGGACTAGCAAGAAACCTGGCACTAGAGAAATTCCCAGGAATCCACAAGAATGACCCCAGCTAAGCAACAGAGGAGAGGGTACCCGAACAGGTCTTGCCCCATAGTCAGATTGATGACTGCCTTAATTGTCACCATAGAACCTACTATCTAGTAACTGATGGAAGCAAATACAGAGATCCATAGTGGAGTACTGGACTGAACTCCCAAAGTTCAGTCAGAGAGAGGGAATAGTAAGAATACAAGCAATGAAGTCAAAACCATGATGTGAGAAAATTTTTATAAACAAACAAATAAATAAATAATAATAATAATAAAAAGTAAAAAAATGAAAAAAAACCCATGATGTGAATACCCACTGAAACAGTTTACTTGAGCTAATGGAAGCTCATCAACTCCAGCCTGACAGTGAGGGAACCAGCATAGGACTAAACTAGGTCCTCTGATTGTGGGTGACAGTTGTATTACTGGGGCATATTGTGGGGCCACTAGCAGTGAAACCAGGATTTATCCCTACAGCTTGTTTTAGCTTTTTAGAACCCATTCTCTCTGGAGGAATACCTTGCTCAGACTAGATACAGGGGAGGGGAGGGTCCTGCCTCAAAGCAATGTGCTAGACTTTGTTGACTCCCTATGGAAAGCCTTGAACTCTCTGAGAAGTGGGTAGTGGTGGGATGGGGGGGTTAGGGGAGGAAGGTGGAGGGAGCAGGAGGAGGGGAGGAAG